TGTTAATGTTCATTTGATGTCGCCAATTCAAGCTCCTGTTTTGCAGGTCTTCGCTTTTCCGAGGCAAAGTAAATATTATACTTATAATAACAAATTATGATAATTTGTTATTATAAGTATAATATTTACTTTGCCTCGGCCAATAGAAATGCATCACCTGAGTCGGGATGGAACGGAAAAACAATGTTGAAAGGGTTAAAAATTCGACTGGAACTTACAGTTGTAATGAAACTGCACAACGCACGTCAAGATATGATGCACACGCTTACATGGGATTTACCGTTGTCTTCTCTCCAACTAGCGCATTCATGGCGACCTCTTTCATTTATTTTTGGGTCCAAGTCGTTAGAAAACATCTGCGAAGTTTCGGCATGCTAGTTTTAGCTTAAGGTTCACATTTTTGGCTCAGTGAAACCATCAATTTATTTACGGCATAGATTTATATCTGAATCTATACCTTCAATGCTAATATTGAGCAATGACTCGATTTTATGTATGTAAATTAAACATGCAAACCCGTCAACGTTCCTCAAAATCGTTAAACAGTATTGCATCAAATAACTTTGACCGAGATTATGACATTTCTTCAACACAGAAATATATTTTATGCACGATATATGAAGGGAAAGCTTAATTTTCTTGACTCGATTCCTTTCCTTGGGAATCCAACTAGGATCTCTTGCAGGTGTTTCTCACGTCAACTTCGAGCCTAAAGAGTTTGTTTACCTAAACACCTCGGCCTACGATAAGTTTTCTCCTTTCTTGGTCCCATGATAAACACCAAGGCAGACCTAAACATGACATGCATTTATTTTAAACGTTTTCTGCCGTTCAATTATTTACAGTCTGCTTGTTGGTACTGATAATTTCCTGTTATTTCTTCTCTCGTTGATACCATTGTAAACGAATGAACACTCGAATCAGACCAAGTTTGCGAATCATACCAGGTAAGCGAGATGAGGTCGGCAAGATTTTGATGTTTAAGCAATCTAAATCTGAGTACTCGAGATTAGTAGTGATGGTTATATGCTGAGAGCGTGATAACATTTAGATATCTATAGCTTTACGGCAGTTCTTCCCTTTAAATCCTGGTGTGCATGTGCACTTATAATCGTCATCAACGCGCTTGGCCACACAAGTTGAACCGTTCCGACAAGGATTGCTGGAGTGAGGGTTCTGTGAATAGGAAACAAAGTGTCAGTTGCATGAATCAGCATAAAGCGATATATCAGCAGCATGAAACAACATCATGGACTCATTATTTATTAAACAAGCCTATCGTTTGATGGTCTGTGACTGGTGGAAACTAAAGTTAGGCAAAAGCGATAAAATAACTGAATTACACCCAATGCAAAATTAGGGAAGGTGGAAAGATGAAATTAGCACGGAACTATATAATAATTCATTTTTTCAAGTTTGAATTCAAATAAGATATAACAAGCGGAAAACATTACTTTCCATCTTTGATTTCAGTACTCCCAAATCTTTGTCAAATACAGCTAGCACAAACATATTTGATATTACCGGAACACTAAGGTCTGTAGGTTAATTTATCCAAGTTGTTATATTTGTGATATGGAAGCAGCTCCCAGAGCAGCTTTCTGTTGACACTAGGAAATACAGCCAGGTTATACGAAAAACATGAAGTCGCTTTTAAACAGGATAATCCACAGTCGATACAATCAGGGACATGTGTGGATGCGATTTTTTGCCGGTAATGTTTAAATTGGAAAAGAACACAGGCTTGAGGATGATAAAAACCATGGTAGCCTTTTGGTTTCTTCCTGAGAAGATGAGATTGATGTAAAGACGGGAAAATAAATAATTAAATGAATAGAGGAAGAAAGGAAGGAGGGAAGGGATACCTGAATAAAAGAACGAGTAAACGGGTGATCGAGTGTGTGAGCGAGCGAGCGAGTGAGAGATAAAGGGAATAGATGAATGAGTTGTTTTCTTTGATTTCAATTTACATAATTATGGTTCTAATGATGCAAGATAGTTGTGAGTTTCAGGAAGATGGCGTGCTTGAGTTTCCACCTTCAAGCTCATAGAACCAAGCTTTAAGGTTACTGATGTTGTATTTGAGCTGGATAATAGCTATAAAAACTTGTTAAATTTGGTCAAACAAAATTGAAAGAATTTACCATTGAAAAGAAGCTATAGGTACCCTGAGTTATATTCAAACCAAAGGAGAGAAAAATTGTCATCGAAGCAAGACAGCTTCTTTTTTTGAGGAGGCTGTGTTCCATTTTCTTCGAGCTTCAGTTCACAATATATCCATTTCACAAGCATCAAGCGAACGACCCCACTACTTTTGCAAAGTTAAAATGAGATGATCCTCCTCCGTTTTTACAATGTGATATCCCCAATACACGTTTTTCATCTAGAAGGATTAAGACGCTCTCAACAATTTTTTATATGACATTTACGATGCAAATGATGTCTACAGCGAAAGCCTATATCAATTAGCTATCTGAAAGAATAGAAAGCTGACATATGATAAGCTTATTAAATAAATGGCATGAGCCAAAGTGCCAAAGTGCACTCGTAAATTTCTTTGAGCTTAGTGTTGAGAAAAGGTCTAATGTTTTTTAATTTAACTGCTAATGTTAACACTTCAATTTAGAATGGTAAATGAAAGAACATCAGTTGCCTTTGCTAATATCATTTGTTTACTCACTTCCTGAAACAAAAGACTCACTATTCAACTAAACAAATATAATGTTACGTTTCCAAGACCTTTCAAAGTAGGTGTTAAACGTTTTGCAAACTGAAATGAGGTGAGGGTGATATCCTCTTACGTGTGTACTCCATCCCTTGTAAATTAGCCAAAATGCACCGTTTTGTTTATGTTACACGTATCTATGACACGAGCGACAGCGTGAGCCAATATTTGCTTGGCTCTTTCTCAGCTTTTCAAACTGAGAAAGCTGGTGTAACTCCTTTTCTCGAAAGCTAGAATGCGATTCATCAAGGCGGGTTTTTTTAATGATTTGTGCGTGCGACATGAATTTTTAAGCTTGTATAGCAAAACATTTTGTTAACCGCAAGTTATAAGTCCTCTAAAGTGGTTCCCCCATTTGACGCCTCTGGTAATTTAACTATTGCTAATTAAAAAATTAAAAATTAATATTGCAGAGCTTTCTATGAATTAACGTACTCTTAAACCATACTTCCACTGAGGAACTTCTTTAGACATTATTCAAATAAAGTGTTTGCCCGTTTGTTCACTTTTATCTAACTGAAAAGATCTCTTGGCGAAACTGTTGATTATGTTTGGAAGGCCGCGTCTGCTCTGCAAAATAAATGTCAGAATTCCGGAAGACAAATATATATATATACGTCAGAGAGTTATTGATTAGCTACATGACATTATTTTATCTTTCCAAAATTTGACGCAAGAGGAAAGCTTAGAGCTGTAAGAATGAAACTGTTAATTATTATTATCAATTATTGAAAATTCTTTTTTAAAGTAAGATAAGGAAAGCTATTAATGTTCACCTGATGTCGCCAATTCAAGCTCTCTTTTTGCAGGTGTTATCTCTTTGCTATTCGTTTTTTATAATTTGTTATTAGGGGCACAATACTCACTTTGCCTCGGCCAATAGAAATGCATTACTTAAAAAACAGAAATAACCCTTATGTCATTAACTTCCAGAGACGACTATTAACTTCCTGTATTGATTATTGCCCTTCGATAGTCCTACAGATGAATAATTTGCTACAGCTTGGAAAATGAAACATAGCCTCTCACAACGTAGAAGCTGTCTTTTTACGATGATGACCTTTATACTGTTTCGACTGGCCTTGACACAAGGTGCTTTCTCTTTAATGTTTTATCGATACATTCTTATTTTCTCTTCATATCAACAAAGAACTATTTCATGCTTACCGTGCGTATATCGAGTTATATATGCACGCGGGAAGTTTGGAGAAACAAATTTCTTAAGTGCATCCATAACTGTAGTTGCACAGCTAAAAGCATGAACCAATTCTTTTATGACAAAGCGGCCAACTTGTGTTTTAAGAAATAGCCTCATTGTTATTGTGTCGGGTTTACCAAGTAATCGCGATTTGCTCGTAAACATTGAGTAAAAGACAAGGCATAAACGAACAAGAAATATTTGGCAACCACAACTTAACAGCTGATAAAAAGCTTAGAATGAACGAGTTTCTTGCATTTACTACGAAACCGTGAAGTAGATTCAGCATGAATTGTTGTTTATTGAAATTGACGGCCAGAAAATTGCGAGACTTCGCGTTGAAACTTCTCAAAATTTTACGATTTAAACCAAAATCTTTTATTGAACAACACTTTTGGGACATATTAAAATATATAGATGATATTTACCGCCGGTTCTAAATAATTGTCCCCTTGTCGCAAAGCCTCACTTAAAGTCAGGAATATGACTTTGTTCTTTCCCAGATATATTTCGCATCTCGTTTGGGAACGAAGTACCTTTAACTCCAAAGCTAATTTCTTTGCTTCAGAGGTCCTCATTCTCATTTCTTTTCGAAAGCAGTGTAGTAGATTAGCATATTTATTTTTTATTTTGCTCCAAAACATCTATCTAAGTCGGGATGGAACAGGAAAAAATGTTGAAAGGGTTGAAAATTCGACGGGAACTCGCAGCTGAAATGAAACTGTACATGGGATTTACCATTTTCTTCTCTCCAACTCATGCATTTATGGCGACCTCTTTCACTTATTTTTGGGTCCAAGGCGCTAGAAAATATCTGCAAAGTTTTGGCTTGCTGGTTTTAGCTTGAGGTTCACATTTTTGGCCCATTGAAACCATCAATTTATTTACGGCATATTTACTCGATATTATGTATATTAATTAGTCATGCAAACCCTTCAGTGTTTCTCAAAATCGCTAAAGAGCATCGGAATAAATAACTTTGACGTAGATTATGACATTTCTTCAAAACAGAAATATACTTTTGCACGATATATGAAGGGGAAGCTTTATTTGAACTTGAAATGTAAAATCTTGACTCGATTCCTTGCAGGTGTTTCTCACGTCAACTTCGAGCCTAAAGAGTTTGCTTACCTCAACATCACAAGAATCGGCTCACAACTTGTCCGAAAGGACATCGAGTGTGGATTTGCCTGTTTGGAAATCACTTCATGTTTCTCTTACAACCTGGCTGCTTTTCCCGATGCCAATGGAAAACTGTCATGTGAACTACTTCCATCAGACAAGTATAACAACTCAGACAAATTCATCTACAGCCCGACTTTCAACCATTTCAGTATCCCGGTAGATGCAAATTTATTTGTTCCAGTTTTTGCAATTGACAGAAAAAAAAATGGTCGTCAGAGGAATAGTGTGAATCAAATTTATAGCATTATTAGTGGCCAATGAAAGTCGAGAATACATATTTGGAAGTAATTTCATCAGCCCATGTTCTCTAATTTTTTCTCAACTTAGTGTTCACCAATCACAGACCATCAATTGATAGAGCTGTTTAATAAATAAAGAGTCGTTGATATCGTTTCATGCTACTGACAGCTTATTCATTTTAAACAGAACCCTTGCTCCAGCGATCCTTGCACGAACGGTTCAAATTGTGTGGCCAAGTACAGCGATGATGATTATCAGTGCGCATGCTCTCCAGGATTTAAAGGAAAACACTGTCAAATAAAAATAGGTGTGTCGACGTAGCATGTTCAATTTATTACCATCCAACTATATCTTGCTCAGTGCTACATTTATTTCGATATTTGTTGCGACGTGAGTGAGTTATTTCCTGATTTTTTTCCCTTTCTAAGCTCCGGGGAAAGACTGCAAAGACATTAAGATGCGAGGTGATTCAGGGGGAAATGGTATGTATCAAATGGACCCGGATGGAGGAAGCCTTTCAAATGCATTCTGGGCCTACTGTGATATGACGTCATACAATGGAGGTTGGACCATGTGTTACACTACCGATGAATATGTCAAACCCAGGGCCGAGGTCACATATAATGCCTCTTTTCCTTATGGAAATGTCGGCTACAGGACCAACTGCAACAAAATCTCTGTAAGTTGATTGAATAACCTCTTATCTCTATGAATATGGATCGCTTAGTATATATACGTATGGATCTCGAAACACGATTTCATTTTTTGTGTTTTTGTATGACGCACAAATGGGTGTGTCGATGTACATAATGATTTGTTAGTATTTTTGTGTTAAATTTTAGAAAATTTTTTGAACAATTCTCTCCTTATAATGCATTTCATATGCTCGTATCTATTCGTTTACTGCACTGAAAATGGCTGCTGCTGTATCTTCTTATACTAAAGAAAATACTAAAGCACATAAAACCTAGACTAAGGCTGTAAAAAGGTCGGAATTTCGCACCATATAATACAAAGCATTGTCTCTTTTTCCAGTTTACAGAGATTATGTTCTTGGATCATCAAACTTTGGCTAAAGTTTATTTCAAGCGAAGAACCAACCAGTCTATAACGGCCAGTTTGAATTATGGGAACGGTGCTTCTACTTATGGATTATGGGACGGTATGGGAGTGAGCGACGCCTACCTTTATCAGCTACTGATCTGTGATACCTCATTCTACAGTGGCTTCTTAGTTTCTGGTTATACAAATTGTTATAAGCAGTGTGGTCACTGGTGTGGCGATAGAGTCTCCCCGTACTTCCGTACTGCATCTACCAGTTCGAGTTACTTTGGTGTGGCCTTTAACATCAATGGCCACCGATCAGTCAATAAAAGACTCATCAGTGTCGGTCTGCGCTGAGACATTTACGGATTGAGTGCATACATAATTTCCTTCTTAGGTGTGTCATATTTAATCATGAGCATAACATACTAATCGTATCTAGGCTTGTCCCGATTGTGCACGGCAACTTATGAGCAACTTTTTGTGTTTGAGGGAACTTTTTGTGGTCCTAACAACCTCGAGCAATTATTGCCTTATTGCCTGATTGCGTAATATAGGTTTAAGGCACATTTCAAGCACAAAATAGTCAACAATTTGATAGAAAACTTTAATCTATGTTTAATCTATTTAATTATCTATATTTAATCTATGTTGATCAACACTTGACAACTTTTCTCATGCCCGTTGCGATTCTTATCTGATATTGTGAGATGGCAAGACGTCAAATGAAACATGTATCTTGTTCCTTTAGGCATAAGAGTATCCTTAAATTTCGCCCATATTTGCAAGCAATTCATCACAGCTATGTTTCAAGGTTTTTTCTTGACGAATGTTTGCAATTATTGTGAATAACGAACGTGAAGATTCAGATTAACGTTTTGAATAAAATATCAAGAAATTTAGGTAGCAACTTTTTGTATGAATTTGCAATTTTTCAGCAACAACAATTTGGCATTTTAACGAGCAACTTTCCAGAATTTAACGCGTACAATCAAGATAGGCCTAGTCGTATCTCTAGATAGCCCCGTCCCATCACGTAATGATAATGATAATAATGATAATAACAATGATAATAAGATAATATTTTAAGAGGAGACCTCTAAGTAGTTTTTAGGGGCGTGTGCCTAGTACATCTGAAGTTGGTTTGTTTCTGATGTCCTTGCCACTGTAATATAATTTCTATCACGTAGTGAACCAATCCTACAGAGTAACGCTAGATTCTGCGTATTTTTTCAAGATATGAATATGCATGTTAGTCTGCGAAATGATCAGAGATCGAGGCATGTAGCATAATATTTATCCTCTATATCAATTTAAGTATGTTCAGAAATGGCTTCTCCACGTTGGTTGGGCTTGTAATGTCAGCCAAACTTTAAGTGATCCTACGTTTAGGATGCATTAATTTGCGACTAAAAAGTCTTGAAGTCCATGATAAACGGTGCATCAGCGTTGGCTCACGATAAAAGACAGCTTTAGCTTTAAACTCGTAACTGCACGGTAATTGAATATATATTACCAACACACGCCAAAATTTTTCCATCCTACACCTATGCGCAGATTGTATAAATGTGGTGGAATCTGTGTCGCAATACAGTAGAGGAAGAAGTAGAAGTAGGACTTCAAACAATTTACATGCTGATTTAGTAAAATCTGTGTCACTATAAAATAAAGGAAGTATTCGTAGTAGTACTTGTAGAGGCAATCTACGTGTAACATCCCTCTGTCATTAACCAACCAAGATAACAAGAAAAGACAGAGGGCTTCATCTTAATATGACGCCACATTCTCTTGAGAGAATATTTCACATGTATTAATGTAAAGAGTGATTTTTGAGTTGTTGTAATTTTATAAATGCAACATTTTGCAGGTAGTTAGTAGGTAAGCAGGCGGAATGATTACGAACAACAAGATTTGTTTAGAAAGAAAGTAGAAGGATTATGTATTTTTAATGCTACGCATACGTACGTTCATTGGCTTAGCAAAGCAGTAAACAGAGAAACCGCGGTAAACAGTTGACATTTTCTGTTGGCATCAAGCCTCTGTCTAAAGGGGAAAACTAAGATGACAGGTTATAAAAAAAAATGACTAATCATGTCTTAACAATGTTGTAATCAGTTTGTTTACAGTTTTTTTCAAGTAACATCTCAGTCCCTTATGAACAGTCTTGATTGTAACTTTCTGTGCCTGCAATAAATCGAAAACGAGTTCGTAAACATCCATTCGTATTATGAATGACTCGTTCATTTCAGCTGATAATCGCGCAGCTTCATTTGTTGGACGAAATTGCCAACCCGCGTAACGAGAGGTTATTAAATTCTTGCCTTAAATCATTCTCTGATTGGCTCCCGCATTCAATGTCGTTGTAAGGTGCAGATATTCAATTCAATATGTAATTGGCTTCCTAGGGTAAGAAAAGTTGTTATTGTTTACGTAGTAAGGACGGTGACTGTTATATGGCTAAATAAATATAATCAGAGATGCATTTCGAACTCGTCCTAAAACAATGGCAACAATAGATGTGTTAATGGTTGTTAGTGGTGTTGTAAATAAAATCTGTTAACCATTAAGGCGTTCAAGCACAATCGCACGTTTTCTTTCATTTTTTATCTTTCACTTTTTTCTTGATGTGATGTACGCCTGTATCCATGGCAGGAAGCTAGCGCTTTTCATCGAATTTGATAACAGTTTCTGAATTCTAGTTAACAATATGGTTCTGAATGGGTTATCTCCAACTGATTCCTCGATAGAATTCCACCTTTCGTGAACGCAAGCCTAGTTAAAATATTAATTCGTGAACACAGGCCTATTCATTTAATTCATCATTTAAATGGACCCACAGGTGTTGCTTCTTTGAAAAAGTATCTTACACTTCACACCACAGAAAAAATTGAAGACGCTGAAGGTGTTGTTGTCAACACTTTAGTCATGATGCTCCGGATTGCAACGGCGCTGAATCCACGACCCCAACAAATCGGTCTAACCGTAGTGATGACCTTTATTTTTCTCTTTGCCACAACTAAAGGTAAATTGCCTTACTTATTTACTATTTCTTAGTTCTTCCTCCTCAAAAGAAAAAGGAACTTAGTATTAAATCATGACCATGTTATGCAGGACATTAACCGAATTTTGCGTGGATTTTTTCTGGCTAGGCATTAAAATAGGTTGTCTCGTGCAGCGATATCTTACGCTGACTTTTATCATTTAATAAAGGGAAGGATATCCTATATAGACTTCTTTTGAAAAGCTGATAAAATATCCCTCCAAAATCGACAGTACAGATCTTTGTTTTACTCGGGAACAGGAAAAAAAGAGGTGATGGTAATTGTCTCGCAAATTTGTGGCCAAATTTCACAGGTCACGCCATCATTTTTCGGCTACGTATCCTTTATCACGTCGACCCAGAGTCAATTCTTTATTTCTCCGGTGAGACGAGATGTAAGGAGCGAGATGGAGACGAGAAAACTGATTCTTTGGTCGGCACGGAACCGGAGGCTGACAATGTTAGGATACAAATTAAACCTTATAAGTTCAACATGTAAACTGCTGTGTTATGATGTCGACAAGTTTCCTGTTTCTATGTAAACGGGGCCGCCCTCAGCCGCTTTTCCGTGCAAAACTAACTCAACTAATTTCTCTCGTTACAAGGTTTCCACCGCCAGGATTCCTCTGCGGGTGTGTCTTACCTCAACTTCAAACCTGAAGCGTTTTCTTACTTAAATATTACAAGAATTGGTTCAGAACTTGTCCAAGATGGTAGCGAGTGTGGATTTGCCTGCTTGGAAATCACTTCGTGTTTTTCGTACAACCTGGCTGCATTTCCTGATAATTGGGGAAAGCTGTTGTGTGAACTGCTTCCGTCCGATAAGCACAGGGAACCCAATGAACTCATCAGCAATCCCATATTCCATCATTTCAGTAAAACTGTAAGTGCAATCTTGTTTCAGTTTAAGCTATACGTCCCCTCCCCCATAAGTAAATCAATTGGGGCTGCTGCTGATAGGAAAGTGCGTGATTGAAAGTATCATTTGACAGCTGTGATTTTGTACGATAACTTCAGTCAAGAGAATATAAAAGGTAATTCTCTTGCCTCAGTGACACAGACCTCGTTATAGTGATGGTGGTCCCTTTGTTAGAAAGAAAACTTAGCCTGTCAATCTTGAATATCTCAACTAAGCTATAAATGCATGTAAAGCGGTTCTTACCAATGATCTATTGGAGGAAAGAGGCACAGACGTCTGCACCGATAACAATATTAGGATTCTTTCTATATTTATCTATCACAAGAAATCAGTCACCAGTTCACGCTCCGTTACGCCTCGTGTGCCGATTTTTAATTCTTAACACTTTTGACGTCATCTGTGATCTCTTTTTAAAACAGACGTAGGACAACTTGGAATCTATTTGTTGTTTAACAAAAAAGATGAGAATTATTGTTTTATTTTGTTGAAACAGACTCCTTGCTTCAGCGATCCATGCATAAGCAATGCAACTTGTGTGGTAAATTACAAAGAAAACGATTATCACTGCAGCATATGTCCACCATTTTACAACGGAAAAGACTGCAGTAAAGGTATCTCCTACTCCGCCTCTTCCATCTCCATTCTTTCTTTTTCTACTCGTTGTTTCTTCCTGTTTCCTGTTACTCCTCAATCAGTCTCCAGGCCGTAGTTGTTCTTAGCATGGATAACAGTGTCCACCGGATAGATCATGTGTCCATCCGATTGATAGCGCAGTACGTTAAAACTTATATAATGGATAAAAATTTTTCCGTTGGGTAGCGTTATTGGCCCTTTGAACAACTGGGCCCTGTAGTCTTCTACTGGTCGCGAAAGTTTCACTTTGGTTCCATTAAAATGAAAAAAAAAAAACCGAGTGCTACACGTGAAAGAAAGACCTCTACGAGGGGAGAATCCGAGCGCAGAAGGGGGAGGGGGGTTACCTCAGTTTACTCTGACTTTTTTTTTCTGTTTCGTATTCTTTTAAGCTATGCAGAAAACTGACCGCAATTTATTTCCGACTAAACAATTTTTTAGCGCTTTTGCTATTCATTTTATTTAACCTGCGATTCTGTCAACCTCAATAACAAGAATTCATAAGTCATAAGTCATACTGATAAACCAACTTCTATTAGCCACATAGACTCAGTTATTATTCCTTTTAATGTTCAGGTCCATTTGTTGGACTTCATTGCCTGGACATTAAGGAACGAGGTTTTTCCCGGGGTAATGGCATGTACTGGTTGGACCCGGATGGAGGAAGCCATTTCAATGCATTTCAGGCCTACTGTGACATGACGTCACACAATGGAGGATGGACCATGTGTTACACTACCGATGAATATGTCAGACCTAAGAGTGAGGTCACATACAACGCCCAGTTTCCTTATGGAAGTGACGGCTACAGAACTGATTGCAACAACATCCCAGTAAGTTTTTTAGCTGATATTAATGATCATACCACAGACATTCCTTTTTGCGAGATTTTAATATAAAGCACATTACTCCATTATCATCCTTGGGCGCATGCAATTGAATATAGCAGTTTCGTGAAAAGTTGTCGGAAAAAAAAAGCGTAAAAGTGCATGTGATAACTCCGAAAGATATTGTGAGTAGGCGACCTCAAGATTTTAGGAAATCTGAGAAAACGTCATTCTAAGAACGAGACACAGTGGGTGTGATTGATTAACGGATTTATTTCGCTTAGTGAAGTAAAAGGAGTTTCTGGATATTCAGATTATCCTTTAACATTGTCGCTTGCACTTTTGCCTCGTTTTCAAGCAAACTTTCTCGAAACAGCTGTATGTGAACAACTTAATGTGACCACCTTGCTTCTAGGACTCCACAAAAAAGCCGTCCATAACAACTACCTGTTTGCTCGTTGATGTTAATGTTGTTCAAATTTATTGCTAAGTTCCTCTATCTCTTTTAAATTACGTTTTAGACAGACTGACTCCTCCATTCTGTATTGATTCTCCTTACTTTGCTTTCCACCAGAATCATTAAGTTTATTATTTCATTATGATTATTTCAGTTCAGAGAAATCATCTTTGAGGATCACTCAACTGGAAAGAAGATTTACTTCAAGTCACGAAACAATCAAGCTATTAAGGCCTCCCTCAATTACGGAAAATCTGCATACTCCTATGGGTTGTGGGACGGTGTGGGGGCTGATCCAGCTTATTCCTACCAGCTTCTGATTTGTGATGATCCGTTCTACAGGGGCTTCCTGATTTCTGCCCACACAGGGGGTTGTTTTATTACATGCACCTATTGGTGCTCCGATGTTAGTGCGTCATTCTTCCACACTGCATTCACTAATTCACATGGACAGAAGGGTGGCGTGGCATTTGGTGAAAAAGGTCATGAAGTCCATGATAAAAGGCGTATCAGTATCGGCCTACGATAAGTTTTCTCCTTTCTTGGTTCCATGGTAAACACCAAGGCAGACCTAGATATAACATGCATTTATTTCAAATGTTTTCTGGGCGTTCAATCAGTAAAAGTTTGCTTGCTGGTGCTAGTAATATCCTTTTTGTTCTTCTCTCCTTGACAACAAGTTATTCATCATCATTGGTCATAATAATTGTGTTAAGAGATTCGTCGCTGCTTTTCTTTTTGAGATTGCTTACTTTTGAAGCAAGATAACAGATAACGTTAACCCTTAACTCCAAAATGTAGCGGTGATCAGCATGTAATATCTCGATGTAACACGAGAGTCTGAACACTTAAACAAGTGTCAAGTTAGTATAATTATGGACTTCATGTGTTTGTATAGATGTGTCAATACGCCGCCACCACCTCTAAATATAGAAGTAATGGTTATCGAACTGAGTGAAGTGCAATTTGGTCTGAAATCATACGCTTGATTTCAAATCAGACGAGCGTGCAGCGCATGTTTGATTTCAAATCACAAGAATCATTACGATTTCAATCCAAAGTTTCAATAAACGAAGTTCAATTACCACTTTATCAATACAAGATTTTTTTCCGGCTATACAGTTATTTTATTGATCCAGTGTAATGAGCTGGTTTGTAAAAAGTTGCAAAATTTGTCTCATTTTCCTGCAATTTGATTGATTTCTTCAAATAAGCCTTGAAATGTGTTTGGTTGCTGTGTTTTAGTAAAGCTGTCTCATTGGCTGGGAAAAAGATGCGATTAAGAACATAATATGGTGCGATTTGTGATTAAATCGCATCGATGAGAGCCAGTCAGTTTGCAGGGATCACAGTCGTCAAGTGATTTCAATATGGATGTAGTAAAACCGCATGTCCGGGCCGGACATGAAGTTTTGGCCTTCCAAACAGCGTCTTTATTGATCGGGCGGAGAACGTCACAAACTGCTAGCACAACAACCTTCTATTTTGGATTAGGAACTCGTAACAAGCCGTAATAACCTGCAAAACACATCAAAGATTACCCAGCGAAGCGAAACTCGAAACAGGAACTCTATAAACTTACCATATGATGAAAGGAGGGAAACAATAGAGACAAATCACAATTTCAGAGCAAACTAAGTTCACCACGGGCGACTGAAAAGAAATGAAAATTTAAAGAACAAGCTACTGAGCTTCATGTTCTTACGAATCTATAGAGAAACGAAAAAAGTGAGGAATGGACTCAAGGACTTGTTGAGGAATAGCCTCGACACTGCATATTATTCTGTAAGGAGCTTGTGAAAGGAAAATTCTTGAGATAACTGTATAGAGATCCTTTCTTACTTTGCGAATCATACCAGGTAAGCGAGATGAGGTCGGCAAGATTTTGATGTTTGGGTATTCTAAATCTGCGTACGTATTGTAAAAATAATTTGCTGGCCAGGGTTTTATCAACGAGTTCATAATGGATTTTAGTCACAGTGGAGAATTTCTAAAGCTGACTGTTTGAATGTTTGCTCGCCGTCATAACGCTCTAAAAACTCGAGATTGGTAGTGAAGGTTATACGATGAGAGCGTGGTAATATTTAGATACCTACAGCTTTACTGCAGTTCTTTCCTTTAAGTCCTGGTGTGCATGTGCACTTATTTAATTATCATCGACACGCTTGGCCACAAGTTGAACTGTTCCGACAAGGATTGCTGGAGCAAGGGTTCTGTGTAGAGGACACTAAGTTACATGAAGTAGCATAGAGCCATATATTAGTAGCATGAAACAACATCATGGACTCATTATTTATTAAACAAGTCTATCATTTGATGGTCTGTGACTGGTAGAAACTAAATTTAGGCAAAACTGATAAAGGAACTGAATTACACGGAATGCAAAATTAGGGAAGGGGGCGGGTGAAATTAGCACGGAACTATATTATTATTTATTTTCTCAAGCTTGAATTCAAATAAGATATAATACGCGAAAAAAATTCCTTTCCATCTTAAATCTCTGTATTCCCAAATCTTTGTCAAATACAGCAAGCATAAATACATTTAATCTTACCGGAACACTGAAGTGATTATAACTGAATTAGACTGTAGATCAATTTATCCAAGTTGTGGATCAATATTTGTTCCCGGGAAACCGAGCTCGATATAGATGACTCGAGCTCGAGAGCCTACCCGAGGCAATTTCTTTTGTATGTTAAAGTGTATTTGTTTCCCATATTTGCCTTATACTACACGGAAGAATGAATGAAGACAAGCATGACAGAATGATTTTGAATTTCTGCCACAAAGTTTTAACTGAGCGCGGCAATAAATATCTTTCGAGTTAACTACTTTTATTAAAGTATAGAGCAATGGTAGTGGAGAGCATTTTCGTGTCAGTGATATTCCATTGTTCATTGTCGCATCGCTTATCGCAGCAGAAGCGATAAGTTATTCAAAAATATCTCAAGTTAGAAGGTGGCTGAATTTTGTTTTGCTTTCTTTTTGTTTTTGATATCATTTGTTTACTCACTCCCTGAAACACAAGACTATCCAACCAAACAAATATAATGTTACGCTCTCAAGATCTTTTAAAGTAGCCGTTGAATCTTTTCGAAACTGAAATGAGATGAGGGTGATATCCTCTTACGTGTGTATTTCATCCCGTGTAATTTAGCCAAAGTGAACCGGTTTGTTTATGTTACATGTATCTATGACGCTTATGTTTAGAGCGAAAGCCTAAGCCAATATTTGCTTGGCTCTTTCTCAGCTTTTCAAACTGAGAAAGCTGGTCTGACGCCTTCTCTCGAAAGCTAGAATGCAATTTATCAAAGCCTTTTTTTTCCAGTGATTTGTGCGTTCGACATTAATTTTTAAGCTTGTATAGCAAAACATTTGGCAATCGCAAGTTATAAGTCCTTTAAAGTTGTCCCCCATTAGACGAGTCTGGTAATTTAATTGTCGCTAATTTTAAACTTAAAAATTAGCATTGCAGAGTTATTTATGTATTCATTTATTCTTAAACCATAATTCCATTGAGGAACTTCTTTGGACATTATTCAAATCAAATGTTTGCCTGTTTGTCCACTTTTGTCTATTTGAAAAGATCTCATAGACAAAACTGTTAATTATGTTTGGAAGGCATCAACTGCTCTGCAAAAATAAATGTTGGAATTACAAAATAGCGACCACAGCTATCCATTTTACGTCAGAGAGTTAATGCTTAGCCGCAGGACATTATTTCATCTTTTCAGAATTAGACTCAAGGGGAGAGCTTAGAGCTGTAAGAATGAAACTGTCAATTACTATTATCAATTATTGAAAATATATTTAATGTAAGGTAAGGAAAGCTGTCAATGTTCACCTGATGTCGCCAATTCAAGCTCTCGTTTTGCCGGCGTTATCTCTTCGCCATTCTATTTTTATAATTTGTCATTACAAGTATAATATTTACTTTGCCTCGGCCAATCGAAATGCATTAGTTGAAAAAAAAAACAAGCCTTAAGTCATCAACTTCCAGAAGCGACTATTAAGTTCCTGTATTGATTACTGCTCTTCGATAGTCCTGCAGATGAATAATCTACTGAAGCTTGGAAATTGAAACACAGCCTCTCACAACGTAGAAGCTGTCTTTTTAAGATGATGACCTTTATCTTGTTTGGACTGGCCATGACACAAGGTGCTTTCGTTTTAATATTTTATCGATAAATTCTTAATTTCTCTAGATGATGATGACAACGACGACGTGGATGATGATGTAGATTACGAGGAGATAACTTTCCCATTAATTCGCAACTTATCCATAGTTTTCCTCTCAAAGCTTCGAACAATCGAGATATACATTAAAAACCAACGGACTTTTTAGAATTACTTGGGCCAATATTTACTCCCCATACCAAAGAAACCTTTAATGCTAGATTTTTGACGGGTTTTCGTTTACATAAACCGTTTACGACATTTTCAAGAAGAATGAAACTATTCTCCCTATGCTGCAGTATAGCAGGGGTAAATTCGCGTCGGTGCGAAGTCGCCTCGCTGCCCCATGAACACCCCCGAAATGACTGGTTACCTGATTGTTACATATGCGTTACTGACCAAACCTTAAGTCAAGATAACTGGATTTTGGCCGAGTTCTTTTTGCGTTTTTTTTTCACAAGATGACGTTGAGGTTCATAGAAAAACGGGAAAAGAGGCTAATATCAAGCCATGCTTAGTCAAAAAGGATTTATCATACAGCAAAGAGATTTCGCTTTATTAAGAATCAAGAATGAACTGTTTATTTCGAGAGCTGGGAAAGAAAGCTGTGTTTGTAGCACAATAAACTTTAGTTTTTTTAATTTCTTCTACCTCTGAACTCAGTAATTGACTCAGCTTCTCATAATTCTTCGAGAAAGAAAGCTGTGCTTGTAGCACAATAAACCCACGAGATTTTTTTTTTTGTTAAGTTTTTATCATTTATTTCTACATCTGAACTCAGTTATAGGCTCAGCTTCTTTTCATTCTTCTTATAAACTTAGTTTTTGTCAGACGCCACAACTCGAATCCCTTGGGGTATGATAAGCAATTCATTACCAAAGTTAGAGCTTTTGACAATCGTCAAATAAGTCGACAATAAGTCGACAATAAGTCGCGAATTTAGAGAATCACTCGGATGTTCAAAGATTGACGGCACAAATACTCTAAATTTTGTCGTATTAATCTTCGATCGGTATGGTAACAATAAGAAGGGTTTGTTTGTTCTCAGTTGAGGAATATCAATCTTCTGGCGCAGCTGCACAAGTTTCTTTAATAGTCTTTGTATTATGCGTGCATCATTTTATTGCCGACAGCTTTCATGGGAAAACTAATACTTGTTCCTGAATTCTAATACTTATTCGGTTCGCGCAAGGCCGTGGCTCATAAGGAAACAGTTTAATAATTCGTTTAGATAGGGCCACAGGTACTTGATTTTGAAACTTTCACTTCAGTATTGCGGAAATAACGTATACGTTTGTCTGTCAACAGTTCAATTATTAAGTTCCGTGCCACAACATCGCTGAATTCGCGACT